CCTGCCTCCTTCATCAGCATCCACCACCCTGAGCTCTTCTCCTGCAAACACCTGCTCTTGTATCAGGCACCCACACCATAGTATGAATTAGTCTGTCAGTGGGTTTCCCTCAGAGTGCTTCTGCATTTAAATTATTCTCATTTATTGGAGAGAAAAGTCTTTGGGCCCTGTGAAAGCAATTTCCGGAATCAGGAAATCTGTGAGCAGTGAATTTTCATTTCCGAGGGCAGTCCCTGAGCCCCTTGAGTTTCACTTATTAGTCTAGTGGCCTAAGGGAAGGAGCCCTGGTGGTGCAGTGGTTAAGCACTCAGCTGCTAACAGAAAGGTCTGTGGTTTGAATACACCAGCCGCTCCACAGGAGAATGATGTGGGAGTCTGCTTCCGTAAAGATTACAGCCTAGGAAACTACCCTGTCCTAAGGTTGCTATCAGTAGGAATTCACTCAGTGGGAACAGGTTTAGCGGCCTAGGTTCTTTCTGTGAGGAAGGCAGAAGAAGAAATTAGAGTTAAGGGAGGACAAGGCCTTTGCTTATGGCAGTAGGTATGTTTAGGAGTGTCCACTCACCTCTCCATGAATCCTCCAATTGTTTCTTCACCATGGGCCCCCCTCCCCCCCGCCATAGTCATGGTTGATTGGATGAAAGGAGGACATGTGACTCAAGCTGAGCCAATGAGAGTCTCTCTTGGGAATCTGGGTGGTGTCATGGATTGGATTGTGTCCCCCAATAATGTGTCCCAATTTGGCTAGGCCATATTCCCAGTATTGTGTGATTATCCACCATTTTGTCATCTGATGTGACTTTCCTATGTGTTGTAAATCCTACCTCCATGATGTTAATGAGGCAGGATTCAACCTACAAAATTAGGTTGTATCTTTAATCAGTCTCTTTTGAGATATAAAAGAGAGAAGCTAGCAGAGAGACAGAAGGACCTCCTACCATCAAGAAAGCAGAGCCAGGAGCAGAGGGTCCTTTGGACCCAGGGTCCCTGTGCTGAGAAGCTGCTAGACCAGGGGAAGATGACAAGGACCTTTCACCAGAGCCAACAGAGGGAAAAAGGCTTCCCCTGGCGCTGGCACCCTGAACTTGGATTTCTAGCCTCCTAGACTGTAAGAGAATAAACTTCTGTTTGTTAAAGCCATCCACTTGTGGTATTTCTGTTACAGCAGCATCTGTCTTAGATAACTAGTTATCTAAGACAGATGGGAATGCCCCCTCCTGTGGGCTGCTCTTGTTAGTCATAAGACAGGATGTTAGGAAGGGATTCCCTCTGTCTCCATTTTGGCTGAGGTTCCAGGACATTGGGGCTGACTGGTTTATGACCTCTCACTGACCTCCAGCCCACAGCAGGGCAGACTGGAGATGAGCAAGCAGGCGCTTCATTGAGCGCTGTGCCTTGAGTCTCACCACCCACACACCTCAGTGCAGGGCTTCGAGGGGACCATTTGGAAAGTGTCGCAGGTCCTGACACAGGGGAGGGGGGCCTAGCATGGAACAGTCGGTGAGAAAGAGAGTTTCCAAAATAACTCGAGTGTTGTCCTTTTTAACACTTTATGTCTAACCCCTGTGCACTGAGCGACATTCAAGATGATCCAAGGTACTTTTTTTTTTTAAAGAAAGAGAAAACACTGCCAATCAGTGCCATGACGCTCTCTTCATCACAGCATGTAGAAGCAACAGTTAGATTTTAAAGCAGTGAAAATGGGGAAAAGAATGTGTTTCTTGGAATCAAAGAAATATGGTATCCAAATGGTGACCAGGGAACATTCAGGGACAAGTTAGGTAAACCAAGATTACTGAATTTGATTAAGGGGTTGTGCCTAGTTTTCATGACGACAGCAAGAAGGCACCCTCAGTTTTATGGTACCGGTTTACGTGACGAGCTAAGCAAACATTTGCACAGGGTTATTACAGGGACTTTATCCCTATATGGTGTGGGAAGGGTGTGTTTACATGTACCTGGACACTTTCATAATAATAAAAAAGTTAACCCACAAACTAATAAAGACTAGAACGGGCCAGGAAAAGCAGTATCTAGGATCATCTTGAATGTCACTCAACATACAGGGGTTAGGGATAAAGTGTTAAAAAGGACAACTCTCAATTGGTTTATTTTGGAAAATTTCTCACTGGCTATTCTGTCATTTCTGCCTTCTGATTCAGTGTTTCCCAGTGGCTTTAAGCTGCCACTGAAAACGGAAAACCTTTACCCTTTCAGAGCCGCAAGTAGAGCACAGAGAAGAACTCTCTCAATTGTGCGTTTACCGCGGCAGAGTGTGGGGTGAGCACGTTGGAAAGGAAGGTAAAGGCAAGAAATCAGAAGTGACCAGTAGCATTTGAGGGAAGGGGTGATGGACACGTGGGCCTTTTTGTCCTTGGTTCCTTGACCTCACTGTGGACAGCAGGGCTGGGAGCCCATTTAACAAAGTGACGAGTTGAGGACGGTCACGGCGGCCTTACCTGACCCCGATGGTGAACATGCTGAGCGGCTGCTTCCCTTGCAGCCAGCCAATGAACATGATTAGACCTGGAGGGAGATGAGACAAAAACAAGCATGTTCACCGACGTCCGCGTGTATTTCAAACTTACTTCCTTAGGGAATCACAGGAATACAACGCAGAGAGACGATTGATAACCTTAAGGACTTTCTCTTTTTAATAAGGAAGATACTTTTATACCTACCAAAAACAGTTTTATATTTTTGAGAAAGGACCAAGTCAAGTTCGAGTTAAGGGAAGAAACAAGCACCCAGTTTATTTGGGGCTTTTTGCGAACGTCTACGTATTATTTCCTAATGTCTCCCTGTGTGCTGTGTGCATCCAGGTCTCCCTCGTGGGGTTGCTGACAGGGCAGATGGCAGCTGCTCCTATGACAGGCAGATGGGCTGTTGTTTCTTAAATTATTTTACCCTGCAGCGTTCATATTCAATATATTCTCTTTCCCACTTTCTCCTTCATTGATCATTTACCAAATGTTTACTATACACCAGGCACCACACTATTCTCAAGACACCAACAATGAGAAGGAAGCCCCCCCCCGCCACCGCCTTCCCTCTCGGATGGACCCTTGAGGCAAAAGAAGGGACCTGAGCAGAGCTGGGGCATGTGAAAGTCCATGAGACACTCTGGGAATGGGGAAAAGTTCGGGGGCTGCCAGGTGCAGCCTCAGTTTCCTCATCCGTGAAATGGGAATAACTACCTTGTCTTCCTCAAGTTTTTGTTTCAGGGTTTACCAATCCAAACCAATGGTCATTGAGTCAATGCTGATTCTGGGCAACCCCATGTGTATCAGAGTAGAACTGTGCTCCATGGGGTTTTCAATGGCTCATTTTTTGGAAGTAGATCACCAGGCCTTTCTTCCAAGGTGCCTCTGGGTGGACTCAAACCTCCAAACTTTTGGGTAGCAGTCAAGTGTGTTAATCATTTGTAGTACCCAGGGTATAGTGGGTCCTAATGCAATCATAGTGAAATCCTTATAAAAGAAAAGAAGGGACACAGAGAGACAGACAGAGGGAAGACCGCCATGTGAGGACAGAGTCGTGCAGCCACAGCCAAGGAACACCTGGGGCCACCAGAAGCTGAGAGAGACAAGAAAGAGTTTTCCCCTAGAGCCTTTGGAGAGAGCATGGCCCAGCCGACACTGTGATTTGGACTCCTAGCCTCCAGAAC